AAAAAAAAAAGTAATCATTGGGCCTTTTGTTTTCAATAACAGGTAACCTGGAAAAATTCTCCTGACTAGAGACCACTAGAAAAGCTGAGGGGCACCTGGGTGGCTCAGTCATTAAGCGTCTGCCTTCGGCTCAGGTCGTGATCCCAGGGTCCTAGGATTGAGCCCCGCATCAGGCTCCCTGCTCTGCGGGGAGCTTGCTTCTCCCTCTCCCACTCCCCCTGCTTGTGTTCCTGCTCTCCCTCTCTCTCTCTCTGTCAAATAAACAAATAAAATCTTTTAAAAAAAAGAGTTATTTTTTAAAGATGGCTGTTGAATTTTGTCAACTGCTCTTGTTGCATCTTTTTATCTAGTGAGGTAGTCGTATTTCTTCCTATCGTCTGCTAATGTGGCGTATTGCATTATATTTTCTAATGTTAAATCACCCTTGCATTCCTGGAATATACACAATTTGATTACACACATCCATTCAAAGATATATAGATATATATCTCCATTCAAGAATCACAGGCCCAGGGAGGTTCTCATGCAACTCAAGTAATGTAAATTCAAAAAACAGACCTACGTGAAGGCAGGCCCAGGATTATAAATCATTAGGAAGAAAGACTCTCTCCCACCCACCCACCTCCTGTACCCATGTGGAGATACCTCCCCATACAAATAGGTAGACTGGTTTTCTTCTGGTCTCCCTTCTCTAGAATGTGGTCTTTTGGAGGTCATAATTTTAATGTGTAAGTCTCAGTTCCAAACCCCCATCTTTCATGTGCCCAAGCTTCATATCTTGTCACTGAATGGCTGTTAATCTGAACTTTTTTATAACTGAGCCCATCAACCAACTGCAGCATCTACTCATAAAATGACCGTTCTAGTTTTCAGTTCCCCTTTCTGGGCCCCTGGAATTTATCTTACTTTCTTGTGAGCTCCACAATGTGCTTGAGGATATTTGTTCAATTCTGCCCAAAATTTCTAGGTGCTTTGTAGCAACAGGGTTTTCAGCTCACCCAGTTTGCCCTTTTTCCAGAAATAGAAGTCTCTAAGGATGCCTTTTTAACACCAAAAAATTTCAAAGACCCTCCTCCACGCACACCTACATTCTAACATCAACATCATCACCATCACTATCACTTTTGTTATCTTTGTCATGATCATAGCTAACATTTAATTAAACTATGTTCCAGATACTGGGCTAAACGCTTTACATGGACTAATTTTTTAATTACCATTATCCTATGAGGTAGATACATACTAATTATTGTAATTTTACAATACATTTATTGAAAGAACTAGCTGCTATGTATTCAGTAAAATTTTAATAAGCTTTGAATGTGATCACAATAAACATCTCATTTTTTAAATAGTTGCATGTATATATGCAAGATATACAATTTATCCCACCTACAATCTCTGATAGGTGAGCATACAGATTTTGGATTCTCCTTACAATAAATTCTCACTTCTCTCCACTTCACTCCCCTCCAGATGGGTCTGAGACCCTAAGTTAAGATTCAGTGCTCTACATAAAACAGAAGAGAAAAACTGAGTAGCTACCATGTGCCAGGTACTGGTTTCTGCAACATTACCAATACCTCATTTAAACTATATAACTTAAATAATACCAGTAGAATTGGTTCTATTGTTATAATTTCATAGATGAGGATACTTATATTCAAACAGATGAAATAATTTGCTCAAGATCACACAGTCAATTTAGAGCCAAGATTCAACTCTGGGAAAGGGAAACCCT